AGCGTAAGTTTGGATTCACTTTGTTGACATTAAGATGTTAATTTTCGAAAATTCAGATGGTGAAATTGTTGAGTGCTACTCTTTAGAACCATTCATTGAGGGAGAATATCAAAAATATTTTAGTAATAGTGGAGAAGTGCCATGTATTGCGGCAGCCATCCAGTCTCCAGAAGTAATGGCATTATTCCAGACCTCCCAAACGTTCTCCCATTGGACATATGAAATAACCAAACAAAATTTAATAGTTACAGATATTCAGGGTGTGAAATATAGAATGACAGATCCAGCAATTTCCTCAGTAGGTCAATTATATGGAGAAACAGACACTGGTGAGGAAGGATTTAAAGACTTTTTTGAAGCTCACTATTGTAATGAACTTTGTTTAAAACTTGGATTGAAACATCCAAACGGTGATTTGTACATGGAACATCCATCTCTTCCAAAAACAATTTCAAACACAATTGACCATGTAGACTTCTGTTCAGGATACTGTTGTGGAAACTATATTGAATACAAGATTGGTGAGAAAACACCAGATGGCACGCTTTTTTGCAACAAATGTAACCAGCGTAATAGTATAACTGAAAAGAAAGTTTGTAAAAAGAAAGGATGTTCCCTTAAATTTGAAATTGAAAGATGGTATTGGGTATCAACTGGAAAACATCCACCAACCAAATGTCATCTACACAGAGGAACTATAGCATCTGAATTAAGGGATTGGAAGAAAAACAAAACCCTACCAAATGGAGCTCTCTTCACTCAAGAAGAAATGCAAAATCAATTAGATAAGGATCCAGATTTGAAAAAGCAATTTGAGAAGAGTATCATCCAAGAAAAGAAACCAGATTTATTTAATACTGTTGTTATTTCAAATCTCCCTGCTAGAACAAATTCCATGGATATCTTTAATATGCTTCCCCCTTTCTTCACTAATAGAAATCAGAAAGTGAAAGTCACTGAACTTGAAGTGCCTTCAACCTTCAGCATTGAGTTTGAGAATGAACCAATTGCGTTAGAGGCATATCAAATTCTTGGATCATACATCCATAGAAGAAGATTAATTGTTTGTAGACCTCTACAACACAAACATGAATCAGTGAAACTGGATAAAAGCTCCATCAATATTCAGTTGTCAAAGTATCCAAATGTTAAATGCAGTGATATTTTACAATATTTCAAGGATTCGAATTACAAAATTCAAGACAAGTACTATGAGGAAAACAAGTTTGCAAATTTCACATTCTCTGATCCCTCAATAGCACCAACCTTGGTCTCAAAAGGTTTATCTATTGATGGCACACTTGTTAAAGTTGTTTATAAGAAGGAGAAGCCAATTACTAAACAAGATGTACCACTAAAGAATTTTAAGGAAAAGAAAATAGAAATTGATGAAAACGTTGACAAGACATCTGTACACATCAAATGGAGACCTAAAAATCCATCCGAATCTGTTCAGTTGCAAGAGATTGATCTTTTAAAACTTTTGAACCAATCTGACATTTTTAAGAAGAAATTCAATTCTGCTAAATCATTTATGCAAATTACTTTCAAATCAGAACAATCTGCAGCATTATTGATTAAAAATGGTTTAAAGTTGCCAAACTTCAAGTTTACAATCAATTTCAAGAAGATACAAGAAAATGAAAGGAGCAATGATTGTAATGAAAAACGAGTACAAAGTGAGGCCAAATCCAAAAAAGAAAAGCAATATCCAAAGGTTGTGGCAAACTCGCTTACTCCAACATCTGATTCAACTACCAAAAATCTTAAAAGCAATATTTCAACATCTAACAATCAATCACCCAAGCAACAAAATATTTCTAAAATGCAAAATTTGATGTTTGTTTTTGATATTAACACACTTTTGAAAATTGGTAATTTACGTAATTTACTAGGACAATTTCTAGAAAACCACATCCAGTTTTGTGTTCCAGATATTAAATTGGACGAAATGAACGAAGACACGTTTGCGGTTCAAAATTTAGTAGATGAATTCAAAGAAATCAATGTACAAGTTCCTGATGAATCAAATAATCTCACTTTAAGAACTCTTAAAGTAACCAAAAAGGTGTCTGACAATTATCCAAATAGGAATGTTATGCTTGTGACAGATGATAAAGAATTGAAAGCTAACGCAGATAAATTCAGATTGAATGTTATCAATAGCTCAGCAATGAATCAATTAATTAGACAGTCAAGCGTAAATAATTCAGTACCAAAGCCAATACCATCAATTTCCAATCCATCACAAAAATCTACAACTATTCCAACAACTAATACTGTTGAAACAATTATCATAGAACCATCTAATCAAAGAACAACCAACACACCTGTACCTGTTCCTGTTTTGCAAAGTATGACCAAACTGATTAGTCATGGAAAGAGAAAATGAATCTAAATCAAAAAATAGACTATTATTAAATAATTTTTATTTTTGGATAATTATTGGATGAGAACAAATGTTTGTTACAAACAATACCCTATTGATCGTCCACTGCGAAAGCTTTATGAATGGCAACTATTCATGAGTACTCTAATGGAGAGAAATGATAGCTTGTTTTTCCACATGTTGAGCACTTGAAGACATTCTCAAATTATCTAAACTCATTCTCAATGCAGAATCTCCTCCTCTAAAAACCTCCAAAGTTCCCTCCCTTAAATCATCTTCCTTATTTGGTTCGTGAATGTATGTTTTCATTTGACCTTTTCCTTTCACTTCGACATATCGTTCTTGGAATTCGTGTTTATCTTTGAGTCGTTGATAGCATGTTTCGGTTACTTGAATGAATCCTGCAGGGCATGTACTTTCCATTCTTGAAGCAGTCTTTGATAATGTTATTTAAATTGTAAAGTGTGAAAAATAAACTTACATTCACAGCATCAGACCAGACATCGTAGGCATATTTCAATACTCCACAAACTCCTGCAACTATTGGTCCAGAGTTAATGCCAACTCTTATTCCAATATTCAATCCATGATCCTCACAAAACAATTGAACTACTTCTGACAACTTGACAGCAAATGTGAAAGTTCTTTCCACATGATGAGCTTCATTCATACCATCAGGTTTCAATCCAGCAGTACAGAAATACTTGGATCCAATTGTCTTTATCTTTTCCAAATTGAAATTGATGGTCAAGTCATCAAATTCATGAATAATTTCATTCAAAGTTTGAACCAAATCAAAAGCAGATAAATTCAAATCCAATAATCCAACAATATCACTAAACAAAATGGTTACATCATCGAACTTGTCAGCAATCAGAGTTTCTCCTGCAATCAGACGTTGAGCTACACTCTCTGGCATGATATTCATCAAGAGAGATTCGCTTTTTTTCTTTTCCTCAGCTAGTTCCTTAACTTGTACTTTGTGTTCTGAAATATCACGCATGAAACATGAAATGATGTTTCGTCCTTCTAGTGCCGAAACTGAAATTCTCAATTCAACTGGGAATGATGAAGAATTCTTTCTTAAACCATTTAGTTCAAGAGTTTCAGAATAGCTTGTGGCAGAAACTCCCATTTTGGAAATGACTGGTTCTAGATTGGCAGCTGATTCCTTGTCAAATAATTTGTGGAGTGGAAATCCAATAATTTGATCTCCTCTGAATCCAAATAACTTTTCAGAAGCATTGTTGAAAATGTCAATTGTGCCACTTGATGAGCAAATGACAGCACTCGTTAAGGCAGCTTCTAGAATGGCTCTTTCTTTTGTCGTTTTGAATTTGTTTTTCGATCTGGACTTTCCATTAGATAAGAGATGGAAGAAGATATAGTTTCGAATATCGTCATTGGTATCCAATATTTCCCATGGAATGTAATTGAACAATTTTCTGAGAACATAATTTTCATTCTCAATGGTAGAGGTATACGTGTAGGTAATCCATGTCAGAAATAGCAATAATGGACAACCTAGGACAGCTGACAGTATTGTCATCAATGGTTGTTCTTGGAAAAAGTTGTAATAACAGAGTTTGTTTAAGGTTTCCAAATTGGTGAGTAGTACTATGGAATGATCAAAGAGAAATTCTGCCAATTCATTGATTTGTTTCATTTCTAGAGAGATAGTTTCGTTTGAGATTAGTAATTGATTGAAATTCAAAATGCTAGTTCTGAACTGCCCTATTTGGGTATCCAAAGATTGACAATCAAAATGAGAACAATTAGTTGGCAATGTCAATAATAAATTGTCGATATTCGGATTGAATCCACTCAAACTAAAGTAATCATCAATTTGAGAACCATATCTCAACATATTCCAGTTTCTGTCAAATAAACTCATATCTGCCAATAATCTGTCATGAAATTTAACTCTCTTCTCATAATCTGCAATTGAAGCTACTTGAAGAAGATCATATCTTAAACTCTGAGATATATGCATTGATTGTGCTGTAGATTCCAACTTGTAAAGTCCATGTTCCAATATTTTCAATTTTCTGAAAATATCAGCAACGATCAAAGACATGGTTGCTGTGGCCACAATGAAGGACAAACAAACAACAATTACCAAAAAACTATTGGATGAGATACTATCCTTTGTGGAGTCTACATTCGTACCATCCTTATCAATCAATCTCTCCATTCCAATAATGACCTTCTTGGATTCGTCTTTTGGAATTTTCTTAAACAAGTTTAGGATTTGTTTTCTCTGGTGAAGGAATTTAAAACTACAAAAACCATTGAAAATCAAATATAGAAAGAAAATTAATCCAATAAATGATGATAAGGCAATGTAAGCATATGAATAGTTCCTTAATTCGCCTTGTTGGAATTGAAGAGTTTTTTGGAAGAAATCTAACATTCCATCTGAGAATGCTACTCGATTCATTTCAATGAAATTCAATAATTCTTGACTGATCTTCAAGTTGGATGTGTTTGTGGAAATAATTGTTTCAGATAGAACTCGTTTCGTCTTTTTCACAAACCATGAAGTTGAGGAATTTTTGTAAACTTGATTATCAAGAAGGAGAGTCTTGTCTTGTTTAGTATACAATAAGGAAACCAATTCATTGAATGAGAAGGAATCGAATAGAGTTTCGAACGAGTCAATCTTTGCAAGGTCGTTTTCCAGAACGTTCTGAAATGATTTTCTATACTCTAAAGATGAGCTATAATTCAAAGTTGACATTGCTCCAATATTTCCATTCACATTCGAAACTCCACAAAGTGTAGAAGTCGGAATTGAACTCAACATGGCAGATTTCAACAAAATATCGAATACACTATCATTCTGTGTAAATGAAAGTCCAACAATTAACAAAATTGCAATCAACACAATCGAAACCAAACCAGAGCTCACAATAAAATAAAACGTCGTTCTATTCTCATCCTTCTTATGAAGTGCCGAGCTGAAAACTTCTTGTTGCTTATCAGCTTGATCCATCAACTCTTCTGGTTGTTGTTCACTTACAGAGATGGAATCAAAGGCCTCATCATTGACATTCTCACTGAACATGTCGACTCTCATGCCGTTGTTGTTATTGCTGCTACTACTTGTGTAGCTCTTTGTTATGATGAGTTCTCCGTGTGTTTTATCTGATCTTTCATTATCTGAGTTGTTGTTATTGGATGAAGAATGTTGTGAGGATGGTTTGAATTTGAATTCTTCCTGATATTGAGCGAACATTTTCTGAATGGCATGATCTTCCTCATTGTCTATAAGGAGATTGTGGAAAGCTAGGTCGCATTCATTGGATAATCTTTGAATTTGTTGAACAATAGTGTCAACAGCAACAGAGGCCAATAAATTCTTCCAAAATTGGACAATTAGTAATCTAAGCATTTTGATTCTACGCTTCGTTCCCTCCATAATGATATCAGAGGCTCCCGAAGATGAAGTTCTCCCTTCAGATAAATTCTTTTCCAACTCTTTTGTTCGAATATAGAGAGAATATTGAATGAAAATGTTGGCTCTCTTTTTCTCTGCCTTCTTAATCACTATTAAGGCAAGAAAGAAGTTTGGTATTTCCTTGTAGAACATGGAAATGAGAATTAAACTCTGAGCATCATGGACTTCTGATTTGTGAACGATTCTAATGGCATCATTTGCTAATTTCTTATCCTCATCCGATCCTTTCAATGAAAATTTAATAAAAGTTGACAAGTAAGGCAACTCTCTCTGTGTTAACAGGACATCAGATCCACAATTTACAATTGCCTTAGCGAGATGCGACCCCCTCCTCTTCACAGACTTGGAATAGAATTCCAATATCAGAAATCCAATCACGAAAAAGATGATTCCCAAAACAAGAGGTGAAAAAGTCAATCCCAATCCAAATTCCCACATGTCATCCACGTTGATGAGAGTACTCACGAGTGAGGCAATTCCTACTCCAACTCGAGCAAATCCAATTCCACCATAAACTGCATTGGCTTTCCTCCTCAAGAATGGTAAATCGACAAACATCAAGACAATAAATCCAATAGAAAGAACAATATAATAGACAGGTCTCAGGAAATTGACTATATGAGGAGTCACTCCTGCCACAATCAAGTACAATTGATTCGTTCCAATCAGATAGCTCATCACGAATGGATTCTCCAAAACAAATTTGGCCTTACTCGCCACCATCGTATCACAAAATATCATGACCGCGCTCATAGTGATCAGAATTTGAATGATACAGAACAGTAAACTGATACTAGCCAATATACCATTCATCGTGCCCCAGCATTCCACATTTCTGAAATTCCTCAATGCAAATGAAGGTGGAGCTCCCTGAACAATAGAAACCTTACTAGTAAAATCACAATCAAAGAAACCTTGCATGAGACCATAGGTTATTGGCAGAGAGAGGAAGGTCATTAGGAAGAAGACAAATCTACCTCCAGTTCTGATCTTTTTCCAATAAGAGCTACCCAGAATGATGGATCGGTAGGTAATGTAAATAATCAGAAAGCAAATTGACTGCATCACAAAGACAATCACTGCCAATGCAATAAATCCTTCATAGGGCAAGTATTGAAATCCCAATGTTCTTGGTATGAGTAATATGTTATAAATGTATCTGCCATATTCACCCCAATTATAATCGATGGCCACTCCTAGTGAAAGCGTCTGATAGGCAATCAGCATGTGTATCGAGAGACACATGAGTGGATGCAATGGTTTTTCCAATTTGAGTGATTGAACAAACATGAATAGTTTCCTAGTGATGGCTCCTTGATTGTCTGTTTGTGAAGGTTGTGAATTCACACCAGACAGTTCATCAGAAATTACATTAAAGTAACCACCTCCTCCTGCTGTTGTTTTTGTTATTGCTGCTGCTTGATTCCCTGAAGCATTATTAAGACTACTAGTACTTCCATTGATGGGAAGGATTGAGTTGGAGCTGGGAGCTTCGGAGAGTCTGTTAGTCGATCGTCTGGAGAGAAAATTCGACCTCGTCTTGAGATTCCTTCCACTATTACTAGTATGAAGTGTATTGTTATTGTTATTATTTGAATTTGAATTTGATTTATCCATATTGATGAAATCTGGATTATGTTGAATAGGAATTGTATTCTTCCTTAATGTTCTAATAACAAAATATATGAACAGTTCGTTTTAACTAATTAGCTAATTGATATACTACTATTCTGTGTCAAAATATTTCCTTAGTCGTTAAAATTTCAACAATTTATGCCGCCTACTAATAATTTCACCACTTTTTTGCAATTATTTGCAATAATTAAAGGTTCTATTTTGAATAAATTGATGTATAATATTGATGCAAATGATGATAAAGGAAAGATGTAGTGAGCCAAATTTTACTCTTGATGATAATAATTCTTTGCTTTTTGTTTTAATATTGAGCGAAGAATAAGCTAGCTTACAGGAGCTAGTTTGCACAGCTCAAAGATGCAACAACAGCTCCAACCACAACAACACACCACCACCAAAACAGTAGAAGCCACTATATTTCATTTGGCTTAAATTCATGTTTAGAAGTCGGTGTGATACGTTTATGGAAACTCCATCACCTTCAAGAGATTTGTTTTCCAAATGGCCTTATTTACAGCTCCTCAGATTTTCGCCTCAATTTGAAGTTCGGCCTTAGAGTGGCGCGTTTACCAATTTTGAGTTCATCATATGTGCAACAGCAAAGAGTGAAAGCTTGGCATGAGAATGCTGTTTGAACCTATCAGAGAAAAGATGTGCAATTTGAAACCCAACATCTGGTAATGTGAGGTTGTGAATTATTAATGTTGTTGTTGTTTTTTTAGTATCTCTTGATCAGTTGAGTTGTGGTAAAATATCATGATTGAAGTTTCGTGTGGTTAAAAGTGGAGTATTCTGTTATGGGCCATGTCTTGATTGGGATTGAAAATCCTTAATTCCACCTTTGAATAAGATCAGGTTTGATCAATTCAACCTGAAATGGCTTGATAAACCATAAAGTGATTTTTGCAATTCATTAGAACCCATGAGATATTGCCTTATCAATAAAAGACAAAATCAAACAGTTGTTATTATTATTGTTGCTGTTTATTAACATAAATGATTAACATAGAGGCGTGTTAGATTGAATCAGAATCAATAGTATTATCGACATCATTGGATTCTTCATTCACTTGCTCAACAAATTGAGACATGAGTAATTTCATACAACGACCCTTATCTTCCAATGAAAGTTTCTTGAATTGTTTCAAGATTTGCTTGACTGAATCTTGTGTACTTTCTGATGATTCCTTCTTCTCCTTCTTTTCCTTTTTTACTATAGTTGGCAGTGGAGATCCACTTAGTAAACAGTGAAGTGCCTTTAGCTTTTCCTTCTTGTGATAATCTTGAACCTTCTCTTTGAAATCACTGTATTCTCCAATCTCCTTTCCATTCAAGCTGAATTTAATTCTATCAGCAACTTGGCCACTTGTTTTATAATCTGTAACTTCATTGCAAAATTCTGTAATACTGTCCAGTGAATTATTTGCATAGTGAATATGACCATCGGAGGACAATACTGCCTTGTGATCAACTTTTGTGTAGGTGAGGCTTAACTGAATAACAGTAGGAGTGGATGATGACATTTTTTTTGTGATTGATTGGATGAGTTGTGTAGTATCTTTTTTTATTCTAAAATTGTCTAAAATTAGAATTGATAAGGAATTCCCTTAATATTCAATCAAAACAAGAAATTGTGTGTCGAAATACAATAATTTACACTTTTGTAGAGATGATTTATTTCTCCCAACCATATCTTTGAGCAACTCTGAAGAAAGCTTCCTTAGCTTCGTGTTCAGAGTATGGGGAGGTGTTTGAGAAATCCAATTGAGCTTCACCTGCAACCATTTCAGATCTGATTTGAACAAAGATTGATTCAAGAGAACAGACTGAACTCCAACCAGAGCTAGTCAACAATTCCATACAAATGGAACCACCAATAGTGACGTGACCAGTACGGAAGGCAAATCTTGGCTTGAGAACTCTGATGAATGGTGGCTTGAACGGGAATTCAAGAGGGAAGGTCAAATCCAATGTAATGTAACTGGTTGTGTTAATCAATTTGAAATAAAGAGATACTTACTCGATACCATTCTTCTTCTTGTATTCTTGCAAATCCTTGGCAATTTTACCATCTTCCTTGATATCAAAATTGAAGAATCTGATTTCCCAATGGAAAAGATCATCATTGACAGGATTGGCACTAATACCAAACTTTTCAGTGTTAGCTTGTTTAATCTTCATATATTCCTTCATAATGCAATTAACACAACCTTCTGAGGCACCAGTTGGTTTTTTGAATTTCTTCTTCATTTCTTCAAATTCTGGATCATATCCTCCACTTGATTGATGAGTAACTGGTTGGATTGGATCATCATCCATATCATCACCAATATCAATTTCAACTTCCTCTGGTTCTTCGTCACCACCATCTTCATCACCCAACAAGGCAGATTCAACTTCCTTGTAGAGAGCAGTAGCCTTTTGTAAAATATCAGTGAGAGATCTCTTTCCACTTCCACAATAATCACTCAATGATTTGACAAATTTAACATCTCCAACTTCTTCCAAAAGATAGTATTGACTGGTAACTTTCTATCATGATCAAGAATTAAATTATAATAATTGATGTATTTGATTGATAATTGATGTTGATCAATTTAATAACAAATAGTACATAAACTCTCCATCATCATTCAAATACTAAATTACTTACGAATGAATCTCCATTCTTTGTTACGGAAAAGTATGGATTATCTTCAGCATCTACTTCGCTATCTACAATGACAATAATCTTCTCATCAGTACTATTACTCTTCAAAGTCCAAGAGAAGGAATTTTCCTTTGGGTTGTTGATGAACTTTTCTGCTTCAGCCTTTAAACTCATCTCTGATCAATTCGTGAATTTTTTTTGCTGGAAATTACTTTTGGGTCTAAATTTAGCTCAGATTGCTTCTGTTGGAAAATTCAATATTGAACTGAACAATGAACCAGCTGTTAAATTTTGTAATGTATTGAAATTGATATCAAATAAATTTAACATTTCATATTAGTTTTTAATATTAGTACTAGCCAACAGTAACCAATCAAAATTATTCAATATTTGGAGTTAAAAAACTCCACTGAATTCTTCCTCCGCAAAATGCACTCCTCATTACTTCTCCAATATTGACCAGCAGCATCTTTCCACTTCGATATCGATTCCAACAATGCCTAACCACATCGGAGAAGTAAATCAAAAAAGAATCTTGTCAATTTTTCAAATATTTTTCAAATTTTTGTTATTTTAAAATTTTCTCTCACAGAAAAATCATCAACACCAAAGATTATTAACATGTCCTTGCAAAGAAGTTTAGAAGCAATCAAGGGTTTGCATCCTGCTCCATTGTGGAATTACTTTGTCAAACTCTCCCAATGCCCACGTCCATCCAAGAAGGAAGAAAAGGCTATTGAATTTTTGAGAGCCTACGCTAAGGAAAATAACTTTGATATCAATGTTGATAATGTTGGCAATTGTTTGATCAAGGTTCCAGCTACTCCAGGCTATGAAAATACTCCAACTGTTGCTATTCAAGGACATATTGATATGGTTTGTGAGGTAGGTTTATTGTTGCTGTGTGGATTGTTTAAATGTTTGGATTAATACTTTCATGTGATGATGAATTAATTTATTATTATTTATATATTTAAATATTTAATATATGTGATAATGTGATTTATAATCATCATGATGATAATGCAATTTCCATATTGAAAATCATGCAATTTCCTGTTGTTTCCATCAATTTATCTTCATCATCAATTTATATAGAAAAATGTAAGCTTTAACATTTGGAAGTTTTCTCATCACTCTATTACTCTAATCAAACTAATTTAAATTATTCATCATGCTATTTAATAATTATCATAATAGAAAACCACTCAACATGATTTTGACACTGATCCAATTACATTGATTCGTAGTCAAGATGGTGATTGGATTCATGCTGATGGTACTACTCTCGGATCTGACAATGGTATTGGTGTTTGTTGTGGATTGGCTCTTGCCACTGATAAGGATGTTGTCCACGGACCAATTGAATTGTTGTTGACCATTGATGAAGAAACTGGCATGTCAGGAGTTATGGCATTAAAGCCAGAATTCTGTACTGCCAAGTATTTGTTGAATTTGGATGCTGAAGAACTTGGTGCTTTCTATGTTGGTTGTGCTGGTGGTCAAGATACTACTGCTTCTTTCGATATTGTTGAAGAAGAATTGGTTGACTCATCTTCATTTGAACAAGTTTCAATTATGGTTTCTGGTTTGAAGGGTGGTCACTCTGGTATTGATATTCACACTGGACGTGGTAATGCCATTAAATTGTTGGCCAGAACTTTGAAGCATGTTTTGGATGAAGTTCCATCTGATAATCTCAAAGTTTTCTATATTGAAGCTGGTAGTAAGAGAAATGCAATTCCAAGAGAAGCTTGGGTTAATGCCTATGTCAAGAAGGATAAATTGGAAGCTGTTAAGGAAAGAGTTGCTGCTTTTGAAAAGTTAGCTGTTTCTGAATTCAGTGTTCCAGAACCAAACTTGAAGATTTCTGTTGGTCCAGTTGAATCTGCCACTACTTCTACTAAGGTCTTTGCTAGTGAATTCTTGTCCAAATTGATTTCAGTCATCTTTGCTGTTCCTCATGGTGTTTTCCAAATGAGTCCAGTTATTGAAGGTCTCGTTGAAACCTCTACCAACTTGGCTATTGTCAATACTCGTGATGGTAAGATTGAATTCTGTACTTCTCAAAGATCAAGTGTCAACTCTGCCAAGAACTACGCTGCTCACAGTGTTGCTTCTGTCTTTGCCTTGTCAGGTGCTGACGTCAAACACTCTGATGGTTATGTTGGATGGCAACCAGATATGAATTCTCCACTCCTCAAGTTATGTAAGGATGTTTACACTGAAAAGTATAAGGCTACTCCAGAAATTAAGGCTATTCATGCTGGTTTGGAATGTGGTTTGCTCTTGGAAACTTATCCAAACATGCACATGATTGCTTATGGTCCAACCATTGTTGGTGCTCACTCTCCAGACGAAAAGGTCAGAATTGCTGATGTTGCTCATACTTATGAATTGACCAGTGCTATTTTGGAAGCTATTGCCAAGAGTCAATAAATTGTAATTTCCACATCATTTATTAATATCAAATCAGGTCTTTTTCAAGAGTTTAAATTTCAATTCATGTCTTTCTAATTCATTCGAATTGAATGAAATTGTGAGCTAAAAGTCTTTTGGTTAGCTGTACAGTAAATTATTCCACCATCTTATTTAAATGATAACATCATTATTCCTCATCCTCGTCTTCTTCATATCTGTAACGTTGTCTCTTTTGGAGCTGTCTCTCATATTCTGCTTGATAAACTTGACGAAGTTGTTCATCTTGAATTTCCTCAGGTTTTATAATTGGTTTTCCTTGATTCGTTCTTTCTACATTTTCCTTGTAAATCTATTGTGAAAATTAAATTCCGAAATAATTCCAAATATTAAAAACGACATCAAATGTGAAATCCAAAGTTGATGTCACCAAATTTTTAAAAACACCTACTGAATAAAGAGGATTTTCATTGGCTTTCTTATCTAACCATTGTTTACTCCACTTGTTAATTTGCAGCGAGAGGAACACTACTCCGATGACTGATAGTGGAGCAGCTACTGTGACAACCTTCATCCATGTCTTCGGTTTTTGCATTTTTTTTGAATTGTACAAGTTTTTGATTGAATCAATTAATTTATTTTTCTTTGGAGGTTATTCCTGTTTAAGGTTGATAGACAAGCAAAAGTTAAATAATGTGGTTTATTGATAGACAATTGTGGCTGATTTGGCAGCATACTCAACCAAGTTATGCTCGTTTTCGCCAACACCAAATGAGGTTTCAATAAATGCACACAACATTACGTTAAGACCCTTAGGTTTAAAAATGTATAGCAAATGGTCAACTTCTGCAAAACCAATCCTCTTTACAAAATGGAAGTGGTATCGCGAAACTGAATCGAATGCACTAGCTCCAAATTTTGATGTGGCATCTTCATCCCTTACAATTGTCTCAATGCCATTGAAAGCATCATGGCTCAATTTGTGGAATAGCATATTTTCATATAGACCTTTTGTAAATTCGTAATCTTCATCTGTACATGAACTAATTTTCTGATAAACTATGGAGAGAATTTCAATTTGATCAGTTTCAGGACCGAGGCATCTGGTAGACCAAAATTCTGCTTCATAGTGGCTATGGCTATCCTTATTTACAGATTGTGCTTTCTTTACAATCCAATCGGCTGGAAGAAGAATGGTCAAATTCTTGCTTACAGATCTCTTTGTCCATCCCTTTACAAATTCATCAACATCAGAATTTTCCACAACAGGACGACTATTCGAGACGACACTATTACCATCCCAGTGACCTAATTCAATTCGAGCATGCTTATTACTCTCTTCGAGTAATAATGCTGCTGTAAAATGTTCGTTACGAATAATTTTAACTGATGCCTCAAGAGCTCCAGAGATAGAGTTATCCTCCCTCAAAGAAGATAAATTTCCTTGTGATGCACTAGCCCTCAATTCGTGAGAGTCTGTATCTGGAGTACCGTTTGTATGATCAATTGTTGAACTATTGGAAGAAGTTGGAGAGCCAGGTCTAGAATTATGCATTCCCTTCATAGCAATCTTGATCGATTTTTCCACGTTCACACAACTCAAATCATCCCCATCCACATAAAAATCTCCTTCTGCAATCTTTTTATCCTTTCTCAATGTATGGGACTCCATTAATGTGAACCAAAATTTAATTCCATGCTGAGAACATTCAATGGATGGAAAATCAAATTCTAATCACCATTAAATAATCAATATTGGAATCCAATATAAATTCAAAACAACTCTCAAAGAACTTACCTTGATTCCAATTAAATACAAATTCATCTGTTTGATCATTGATCTTGACTTGAACTCCTGAAATATTATCATGAGATTCAATTGGTGTTGAGGCACATGATTCGGGATCATAGGTTGACAATGCCTCATGACTATTTACACGATCCATTCCCAAATTTTCCAAACAAGGTGTCGATTTAACCTTAACAACTGTCTGTTTGTGACTCTTTTGATCACAATGATGAGTTCCAGCCTGTTGTACCATCAAATAACATTTTCGTGGCAAATCCGCATGAGGAGCAAAGTGTCCAGCAAGAACTCGAAAATGTATTGAATCACCCTTAGCAAATACCATCTTGTTTATATTCGATTGATGATGATCGTATTCGATTTTTCAAAATTCTCTCAAAATTCTCTATTATAATACTCTTTTGAATAATATTTGTACTCTACTACAAGTAACAAGTAAACTGTTCCGCAACTACTTTTTGATGAAATAATAATAGAGTTTCAACTGTTCGGAAAAAAGCGAGGGAAATTTCCAAAGACTTGTTTTGAATTTTTTTTTTGTGATTGTTGTTAGAGCGATAATATTCGTAACCGTTCATCTATGCATAGTTTCTGTTATTTGTCCGCCAAGAATCGCATTAAATGGGACAATTTGTCTTGTATTGGAGGGTAGACACAAGACGGCGAAATGGTGCATTGATGACATTTGGCAGTTTTAAAGTGAGGAAATAAGGGAAATGAAAATATCTTTTCCATTTCTCCTATCAATAATCTAATTGAATTTAGTTTACAACAGTTTACAATGAAATGCAAATTTAAGGTTATATATAGTTGAATGCTTACTAAGATGAAGGTACTAGATAATACTAATAATTGATAGAAAATACTGGTACTCGATTCATTTCATCCTCTATCTAACTGTTTGAAAATTGTTATTTTTGGGTTGGATTAATTTTCCATAGAGGTTTCGAATTTCTGCAAAAAAGTTCTTTTTCTAATCTAGAGCACTCTTTACTTTCAAAAATGAATTTCATTCATAAAAAGAACATTTGATTTTAAGTGTTAATAATAATTAAATATTAAATAGTCATTTGTAATTTATTATTTAAAAAAATAATTTTAAAAAAAATGGACTCACACAATATCAGAGTTTTTCAATCACAAGATATTTTGTGCCCACACGATCTCGGACAGCCCTACTGCAGTGCTGCGAGTGATAGTTTATTCTGGGTCGCATACAATGGAATTGTCAAAGGCTACTCGACACAAACAACACAGAAAGAGTTTCATTGCCTTTATGAATTTCAGCCTTTGTGGAATCAAGTGGATGCTATTCATTATTTGCCAGATATTAGGAGAGTAATTACGGTGGAAAGGAGAGTTTTATATTCATCATCTTCATCATCATTGAATGGAGGAGCAACAATAACATCCTCTCCGATGAATAATAGTTTAAATGTTTTGGCAACATCATCAAATTTGACGGATTTTAAATCAAATCTCACGAGTGTTAATAATAATAACAGTCAGGGAACAAATGGTGGAGTGAGTGTGGAGCAATGTTGTAGAGTTTATCATTTTGATTATGATAAGAAGGAGAGAAAGACAATAATTACACCTTCTACATTACCGATTCAACATTTTACGACATTTGCTAGTGGAGATTCTTTAAATAGTGAATTGCTTATTTCTGTCTGTACATATAGTAATCAACTGTTGACTTGTGTGAAGGATGTTATTTCATTGTGGAAATTTACAAATCATGATACATCTGTTTGTGTGTTAAAACTTCACACTTCTTGGAATGTCAAGTGTATTTCTGTTTTTAACCAATTTATTGGGTACGGAACAACAAAAGATGTCCGTGTTGTGGAATTAAAATTAAAAGACAGTCAAAAGTTTGAATTTGTGGAGAATATTCAAGAGGATGACCTCATGGAAGAAGCTGAATTACAAAACAATGCAGAAATTCTCAACACTAAAAATCTATCACTATTGGATATTCAAAAGAAAATTCAATCAAGAATTCAGGATCAATTTATTGGACCAACTATTGAAACTCAATCCACACCAACCAGTACTTCCATTCTACAAAGGCAAAGAAATGGATCTGGTCCCCTCACAAACAAGACAATGGCCATGTATTGGGGTAAAAGTCAATTGGAATCTAGTGACGAAATACAAATTCGTCTCGATATGGCAACCAAAGAATTACTTCCTTCTCCAGCCACTCAGAAATACAGTGAGGCTGTAGCAATAACACCTGAGGATAGAAAGAAGAAAAAGACTGCCATTACATTTTCAACTAATATTGCCTATGATATTGTTGGAGAAACCACAACAGTCGATCACCCAGCTTTTGTAAATACTCACTACATGTAAGTTATCAATATTATTGACCTATGAATTTGTTTATTCATTAATAATTACAGTGAGGCTTGTACCAATTTACTTCACAAACATTTCACCGATGAGGAAAGTCCAAGATCTATTCACTTTCTTCAAAACATTGCTCAAAAGAGAGACTTTAATCAAAATACAGGCATGAAATGTATTTTGAGTACTTCAACTTGTGGTTATGTTTATGGATTATCGAGTCCTCAACAATTACTTTGCGAATTTGAATATACAGGAGAATGCTTAATGAGTGCTGTCAATTCATTGTTCCTTTATGCTATTACACCAGTAGGATTGGAAATTTGGTCAGTTCTTGGCAGTAATAATGGTTGCCTTCTCAGGTTCCATCCTTTCATTGGTCTCAAGAACGTCTCTGCCACAGACAAGCATGTCATTCTTCTCTCCAAGATGAGCAGCAACGAGAATGTTTCCATTGCTGCCTATTATAACCAACAGACAGAGAAGACTGTTCTCGTGTCTGACATGAGAAGCATTGAGAAAGTCAGTAGAGCTTCAACAGCCAAAGAGGGTTCAAGAAGTGGCTCACTCCTACCAATTTTCAGTGCAAGAAGAAAAAAGGAAGAACCAAAATCCACAGCCCAACCAGTTGTTGAAGAATTTTCCTATAACATTTATGCCCTGAACTCGGTAGAATTATGTGAAATTTATGAAGACATGCTCGAACATGCCATAATGTACAAGACCCAAGATAATGCCAAGTATATGAAACTTTTGAAGGAATCTCACAGCTTATTGCAATCAAAATATTTTGAACTTTTAGCAAAGGAAAAGAAATTGGATAGACCAGAGACAGATCCGGTCATTATTTTAAAAACAAGAGTGGACTTGCAAAACTATACTACATTATTGAAGAGATCATTCGGATTAATAGGTGATACCTATGTTTCTGCTGGACAAATCGATAAGGCAGCCTATGCTTATTCGAATAGTGACAGACCAATCGATAATGTCTTTGAGAATTTGTCTGTTAGAGAAGAATCTCTTCTTCTCTTCCTGGATCATGTTCTCTTTGATAATGACATTAGCAATATGGAGAAGGTTTGCTCAGAAGAATTGGGTGATAAAATACTCTCCATTTACAGGCAAAGAACGCCACACAGATTGTCCAATGTCATCTTATCTGGTAGTATTAACTTTTCCAAGAGTCATGCCATCTCACTATTGCATGAAATCAGTGAAGAATATATCAAGGCTCAACAGACTGTTTCTCAACTTGAAATGAGTCAAGGAGAGCAAAACTGCATTGGAGAACAATCTTGGTTTGATATCATGCCTAAAGATGCAATTGTTCTTTCATTGATGCAATTGAACAATGGAGAAGCTGAGCAAGCTATTACAATTTTAAGGTCTGTGGAAGGCAACTGTTTGGTTGACTTTTTGATCAATTATCCAAACTTGTTAACTTCACCAAGCGAGCCATTCTCCTTGTTTGCAAAAACTATTAGAGAATATGCTCCATGGTGTTTATTGGAAGCCCTTGTACGTTTGACCTCTGCTAATTGTTGTCCATTAGAAACTCAACACGTTCTCAATTTGCTGAAGGGAGAAGAAATCAAATTTACAGCTGAAGAACTTCCAATTACACCTCTTGTGATGCAACAAATCTACTTGTCCTCACTACTTATTGCTGGCGATTATACAAATGAGAAAATACTAATTGATAATGCTCTCCTATTACTCAAAGTATTCATATCGGAATTGGAACAAGTAACTCTAACATTGAAGCAATCTGACATTGAGTTATTGGTCAAGTGTGTTAAGAGTAAGGTGGATTTGATTAATTCTTTGAATTCTCCTCAACCTTTCATGTCTCCTTCAGATATTTCATCAAATGAAGATATTATAGGTCAAGAGTTTGCTCCCCTCATCTCAAACCTTTCACAACTTCAAGATTTGAAGCAATATTGTTCCTTCCTCCACTATTCATTTATTCCTTTCCGTGAAAATCTCAAATGGCCAAAAGAATTTGTAAATTATGAGTTTGAAAAGAATAGAGACTCGTTTGGAAATGTAAACTCTAAAACCCTCTCAGAAAAGTACAACGATGTTAATAGTATTTTAGAGAGCATTTCAATGGCAGATGCTACCCTCTTTTCTCTTACAGAGAATGACCCATTCCTTTTAATGATTCACTTGTTGTACAGTGCCCAAGGTTTGATTTGCTTCTTTGTTCAACTTCTTTCAGGAAATGGCGATCTTTTCCAAGAATTTATCAAGATTATTGAATCTTCCAACGCTCATTCTACAGTTGGTTTTGAGACTTTGAAAATTTTGTGTATGACTGGTTCAAAACAACTCAAGGAAGGCATTGAAAGATTATTTGAAATTCTTGGACAAGTGAATGAAGACAATGAAAATTTCAAATCTAAAATGGATGTTCTCTATGGATTCATTCAGGAACACTGCAAGAATGTTGAGGAATGGAAGTGTGTTCTCCAGTTAATCTTTGAATACATTCAACAAGTCGAATCAGTCAATACCCAAGATTCCAAGCCTGCCATCTGTCCTAAATTCCTCTACAATTTACTAGATCGTGTGTTGAGAAATTTGGCACTTACCAACACTCCTGAGGAATTCCTCACTCTAATCCCAAAGAATGGCAGTATGAAATTCTTCTTTACCTACATTCAATTGTGTTATTCACATTTCACAATGAATATTACCAACAATACCAATCTCCTTAATTTTGAAATTTTGTAATGTCACCTCCACCAAGTAAAGACAATCCATTTACATTATCCACTCTCTCTTGATTTTCACTGTTATTTAAGTACATTCATAAAACACTTTACAAAAAAAATGGTAGACAACGAGATTGGTAATCAGCCTCACGAACAACACAACGTTGTTACTCCTCCGAATAATTATAATAATGCAACGAATACAACGGATGATGAGGTAGGTTTGAAAATAATCAAAATAGAAAAAAAATAGAATCAACATATTGATGATGAATTTTACATCATTAAATAATCGACGAAAATCGGAAAAGGATTTGGAATTGGGAGTGGATGATTTGGATTTTATTAATAGTTCCTTCTCGGACCGTACACCATTGAATAAGGATTTTAATGATGATGCAAGATCAGATTTTTCAAACACTGATAATTTAATACAGACACCATCAGAAAGAGTGAACAGTGGAGGGAGATCTATTCAGACAATTGTTGGATCTTGGTTTGAGAGAGTTAAAAAATGGTTTGGCAGTAGTATTTCATGGCTGATTTTTGCATCAATAGTTACAGTTTTAATTTGGCAGCTGCCATCGGATGTTGGACGATATATTGCTTATCCATTTACGATATTTGGAACATTTTGGCACGAGATGGGACATGCCACAAGCGCTTTACTTTGTGGAAATAGTTTGAAATACATTATTATTGAAAGCAATGGATCAGGATTGACTGTCTATGCCGATTATGCAGATAGTAGGATATGTAATGCTATCATTAGTGTGAATGGACCTCTTGGTCCAACATTCTTTGGCTGTTTAATCATTTGCTTATCTGTTCTCTTTGTGAAACATGAAATATTCTCGAGAATTTTACTTGGTTTAATTTCAGTCATTGTATTTGTTTGTACAGTTTTACTGGTGAGAAAATCATTATTTGGTATCATTTTCTTACCATGTCTTGCTGTAATTCTCTTGGTAATGTCTGTCAAAGCAAATGGAAAGATACTGACATTTTCATTGCAATTCATTGGAGTTCAAATGGCTATTTCCATGTATCAGAATATTCTCTACCTCTTCTCCAAAATGGATGGTAAATCAGATACTGGCTCTGTAGAGGTTCTCTTCAATGGATTAGTTCCCTATTGGATGGTAGCAATATTCATCATTATTGTGAATGTCATTTTAATCTTGGTGAGCTTTCTCTTTGTCTTTCGTCAATCCCTCAAACAGAGTACCTAAGAATCAATCAACAATTACAAACCAAACACACAATTTTCACAATATGTCTTGCATTCTTAATGAAAAGTATCAAATTACTTAATTTACAGAAAGCATTCCTGTGCGGCATTACAATCCCTCCTTTCTTTGCTCATTGGAGAGAGCAAATAAATTGGAAAGGCCTCTTTTTGACACTTCAAAAACTTCGGGTCCTTACTTGCCTCGTCATCTATACTCTCTAACAACAACAGCACCACATCAATGGAATATTCACAACAAATTTAATTGTCAATATACACAGTAGAAAAAAACAAGAAGAACCGTTCATTGTTGTGGATAAGATCATAAGAGATATTTATAATAGCGGAGTTTGTGTAGAATAGTTTGACATCATCATTGTAGAGAAATATATATTAATTCATCATCAGTAATAGACATGTGGAAGACATTGCAAAAGAGAGGAATAATTTCCTCCATTGTTGCCAATAACAGCAGTGGCAGCACTTCTACTACCAATATTCATTCGAAAAGTCGTTTGATGATCAATTCTTCCTCTTCTTCATTGTCCAATTCTCTCATCACCAATAATAAGAAAAGATCTTTTGTACAGCCTGTAAATAAGCTTTTTACATCTAATCAACAACAAGAATTAATAGATATTAATAATAAGAATAATAATTTATCATCATCATCTTTATCAACAATACAACAAACACGTAAATTCAGTACCATCAATAATTCTACAAATAATTCAACAACAACAGCAAGTTCTAAACAAATCATTGAAGAAAATAGTAATATAATTATTAATTTATTGAGAAAGCTTGGAAAGGGAATCTTTTATCTTTCCTTTGGAATATTAGGTGCTTTAATTTCAGCCTTTCTATTGATGAAGGGTTGTTTAGAACTTTTTACTAGATTTAAACTCGATGATCCAGAAGATGCACTCTTTTATAATGAAGCACTCATCAAATTCATGTATAATTTGGAGAATTTAGATAGATTTGTTAGGGCTTTCTTTACACTCTTTGTTATTGCTGGAGATTATTTCCTTCTCTTGGATACATCATGGAAGAATCCAAAGTATTGGTTCGGAGCACCTTTTCCTGATAAGAATTCAGATGAATTCAAGCAATTAAAGAAGGCACATCACTATATGAATGCAGTAAGATTGAAGAATTTGTTCATGTCTTTCAAGGGAATATATATCAAGTATGGTCAATTCTTTGCTTCGTTGGGAGGATGGATTCCAGATGAATATTGTACTGTAATGGCTGCTATGAGAGATCAAGCACCTACTGTTGGATATGATGAAGTGAGAAAGGTCATTCATCAAGATTTTGGAAAACCACTCGAGGAATTGTTTATTGAATTTGAGAAGGAACCAATTGCTTCTGCCTCTATTGCTCAAGTACACAGAGCAAGAACTAAGGATGGCACTCTTGTTGCTGTTAAAATTCAATATCCCTATGTAAGAAGATTCTTCTTCAATGACATGGAAACCAATGATATTGCAAACAAGTTTTCAATTAATGTATACTATTTGCAAGATGATGCAGAGAATATTGATGCATTGGTAGCTCTCAACAACAAGTTCAATGAGGAGTTGAAGGATGGTCTCTATACGGAACTTAACTTTTTACATGAGGCCAACAATGCAACCAAGGCAGCCGCAAACATGAAAAAGAGAAAGGACATTTACATTCCTAAAGTCTACTCTGATTTGACTAGTTCAAGAGTTTTGACTATGGAATTTATTGAGAATGCAGTGAAGGCAGACAATGTTGAAGCTATTAGAAAGATGGGATTTAGTGAATCAGACATTTCCAAGAGAATTTTAAAGTCCTTCTCTGAACAAATCATGGTTCATGGCTTGTTCCATTGCGACCCTCACCCTTCCAATATTCTTGTTAGACAAAACCCAAAGAATCCATCTGAACCACAAATTGTCATTCTCGACCATGGTTTATATAAGGAAATTGATGATGACTTCCGTAGAAATTATGCTAATTTTTGGATGAGTATTATTCTTGGAGATACCAAACACATGGAAAGATATTGCAATCAATTGGGAATTTCTGATTACAAGCTCTATGCTTCCATTATCATGATGCAAGGTTTTGACTCTCTTGTTTCTACTCAAAACGAAAAACAACTTACTGAAAAGGATTGGGAAGAGTTCTTCACAGCCATGCAAGTTCAAAGAGATGATTTTGTGAATATTTACAAGAATATGCCAGACAATATGGTCTTTATTTTGAGAACTGATAATATCCTCCGTGCTCTTAACAGAGATTTAGGAGCTAAGGTCAATAGATTTTCAATCATGGCTAGAGCTGCTGCTAAGGGATGTTCCATTAGAAGTGACGATGGTAATATGAGTCGTTTGAGGAGAATTACTCAAAGAATTTCTTCCTTGTCAAGCAGAGCTTATTTTGAAATGAGATTATTCTGGCTCACCTATGTTAAATCATCACTCCTAGCTCTCTACGTTTCATTGTTTGGTATTTATGCTGAATGGAAGAGAAATACCACAATCGAACGTAATTTGTACATACTTGAAACATCCAAGCACATTTCTGCTGGATTTGAGTAAATAGTTTTGTTTTCAATCACTACAACTTCCATCTTTCAATTCTTCCTTCTGATTATGAATTGAATTATTAAACTTGAACTATGAGGTTTAATAATGGTATCAAGATCAAGTACTTCTATTGTCAACTTTATCTAGAGACTTATCCTTAATGGACAAAAAGGAAACTTGACTAAACCTATCCCTCACAACCTTTTATTAATTTTTATAACCTTTTATTATACTTTAATATTATTAAGGTATATGAACTCCGCTCCAAGGAGGAATACAATATCACACCGACAATTGCTATTTTACTACACATAAGGTAGGTACCTTCACTGTTTCACGCACTTATTAAAAACAATGTTTGATAAAAAAAATGTTCAGTGAGTTCTCGCTCTCAGTTACCTTGACAACTTGGCTCTTGTTACTTCTTGCGCTTACTGCTGTTTGCGTTCAAGGCTCATTGAGTATTCTTAACGAGCAGCAACACAACAACAAAACCAAGAAACGAAACGTTATTATCCAACTCCAAATCCTAATGATTTACCATATTATGGTTATCCATTCAGTTTTAATACCAGCACTGAATTGTTTAAAGTCTATACATATGAAGGCCCTACATGTAGTAAGGACTATTTGATCAGCATGGAAACTCAACCTCTCTACCAACCATCTCAATCATGCCTTCAAGTGAGTCCAGGTGTCTATCAACAATCACATTGTACCTATGCAAACTTTATTCTTAGGGAGGAATGTGATGAAGAATGTAAGGTGTGTGCAAAGATGACAACTCTCCCTCTTCAACAATGTACTCCAACAGGTGATGGTCATGCAGTCATTAGAATGTGTGGTGTTCTTCCAAGAGAGAGACCACCTAAAATGTTGTGGAAACTTCAACATGAAGAGAATGGTAAAACATCATCATGCATTCATAATAAGGTCATTAAGGTCAATGGAACAGTCATAAAGAAGAAAAAACCTATTTGGATACCAAGAGGTTTGAGAGGTAAAATTGAAGATGATGTTTCGTGTGACATTAGAGATTACAATGATGGAAAGAATACTGGAAAGATTGGAATTTGTAAAGGAAATCTTGAATATGAATGTTCTTAAAGATCACTTGCTGGAACAGAATGGCTCATCATGCACATGAATAAATCTCAGGGCATGAGAAAACAACATTGTGTGAATAACTGATTATTGAAAGAATTGATATTGACCTCATTGTAAACAATCGGATAATCTTTTTACATACCAAGCCAGTGACATACAATGTTGTTTCTGTATTAACAGACAATGTTTTCCTTATTGAAATGTGAAAGTTAAGAAGGATTCGAGAAGTGTCAACTTTCAACAAACAAAAAAAATGAAAAAATTCTTCCAAAGCAAAAGTGTACCACAGATTGACGTTATCGATGTTCCTATAAACACGTGGACTGTCAATAACTTTGCAGAGTGGTTAACCAGAGAACGTTACAACAAAACTGTTATTCAAGGTATGTAAAATAATCCGAAACTTTCTCTAACACTTTCCAATAACTTTTCTCAGCCATTACTAAAGCCGGATTTGATGGTGGAGCTCTCATGAATTTCCACATTGATGATTTGGTGGATAGCAAAGTTCCCGAACCAACTGCACTCACAATCTACATTAAAATTCAAGATTTAAAAAAGAGACAAAGTCAAATGGGAATTCTTCATGGATATGTTGCAAATGATGGTTCTGATATGGTTGTTGTTGTGGCAGAAACAACCACTACATCAACTTATAGTGGTGATTTGTAAATTGATTCATTGAAATGGATGGAAAATTGACTATTTTTAAATAGTTAATATTTTTAAATATTTAATAGTAACAATAGTATTAGATAATTATTCGATGTAAAATAATGTAGAGTGGTTGGAGATGTTGGAGATGAGGAAAATTTTGTTATATTATTTCTTGATAATTGTAAATTTATAAAACAATTTGTAAAATTAATTTCACACAAAACACAAAATGTCAATATATGAAAAGTAGATAAATAAATGTAATTTTATTTATGAACACATTTCGATTTCCAATAAATTTGGAGAAACTCTTTGAATGAAATGATTGAGAAATGAAAATGGATCATTCACCAAAATAAATTAAAATTGAGGGCGAATCTGTTAAAAACTTCCAAGTATTTTTCAGTGAGATTCTTCTAATGTTTGGATAATCCAATTGCAACTTGACATTTACTCTTTCTGAATCCTTAAAAAATGATTCGTATTCAGCATTCGATTCTCGAATTCTTTCTTCCTCAACCCTCAAAACTCTTTCAATTTCAGCTTCACAAATTGAATGATTATTTACAATTTTTCTCCTCAAAAAGTAAAACAAAACTCCCACAACAATTCCAATACCCAAAACGAAAGGAATTGCAATCAGAAAATAAACTAAACTATTGTCCATGTCCACAATGAGTGGAATCACAAGACACAATGAAATTACACACAAAATCACAACTCCAACCACCACTCCAACACTATAATATTTATCCAATTTAGAAACATGTTTTTCCATCAATGAATTGCACGGATACACAACATTTCTGATTAAATAATTTTCCTGATCTGAACTCAGCTGATTTTCCTCTTTTTCATTAATTTTCAATGATAATAACTTGGTATGAGAATCCAACTGAATGGTGGCTACTAATTTTACATCGTGTTCCTGTTCAAATGTTGGTTTTTCATCCTGTTTTTCCATTTTTGGTTTTTCCACAATAATTGATGTGGTATGTTCATCAGAAGAAAAATTGTGGATTAAATCCAATGGATCATAGGTCGGGATGGAAGTAGTTGTTTGTGCCGTGCTAGTGGATGTATCATGTTGAGCCATTTTTTTTAAAGAAGATTTTAAAACTTTTCAACTCCTTTTTCATCTCCGAAAAACTCCTGAACATGTTTTGATAATTCAAAACATTGTTTCCAGTGGACAAACTTTGCAATTTATTACACTCCTTCTAAATTTCATGTTCTAATTATCATCTAATAGTTGGCCACATGAAGAATAAGGCACCCAAAGTTCCTCCACTCAACAAGATTGCAGCCAAAAATCCTCCCCAACCAAACAAGAAGAGAGTCAACGAAAATGGAAATACTCAATCCCATCAAACCACCAGCCAGAGGTGTTCTAGCTCTAAAGTGAGTCGCTCCAATCGAATAGCCAACAATATTGATTGCAATTGGAGCTAGGAAATATTTACCAACTAAAAGACCGTAATGGGATAAAAGTTGTTGGAAATCTGGTGAGTTGGAGGTGGTGGTAGACATGTTGTTGTGTGTTTGTTTTTTTTTAAGATCAATTGATTGGAATGGTTAAATGTTGAATTACGGGAATAGTCCACTTGATAAGGTGATTTTAAAAGTGTGACATGACAGCTAGTTATCAGTTATGACTTGTTTTTCTCAACATGTTTTGTTTTGTATCATGCATGAAAATGAATATATAGATGCAAATCCAATTTAAAGTTGATTTTGTAAATGGTGAACTTGCAAATTGATTGCTAATGAGAGAACCAAAAAGTGGATTCTGGACAGTAGCTTCCTCATGACTTAATCTTTTCATTCTTTCCTTTCTTTATCAATCAGTTTCTAATTTCGAATATTTGTAAAATGAAAAACGAAATAGACTTGTTTAAATTGGTTTTACAACAGAAGGAGATTGATAAGTTGCAAGTAAACAATTGAATAAATGGATGACATCTAACTTATTGACAAAGTACGAGTACATTTCAAAAAGACCCTCGCTCGCACTTTCGTACAAATTCTCTTTCCTTTAAAAAGAAACTCGACACAATTAACAAATCAATAAAAAAAAAACAAACAGCAACACAATTAGAAGAAACAAGATGAAGTATGAAAATTTAGGTAACACTGGCTTGAAAGTCTCCAAAATCTGTCTCGGATGCATGAGTTTCGGCTCACCAAAATGGTTTGATTGGGTTTTGGAAGAATCAGAATCAATGATCATTCTCAAGAAGGCCTGGGAGTTGGGAATTAACTTCTTCGACACTGCCAACATTTATTCGAATGGTGAAAGTGAGAGAATTTTGGGTAAATTCATTAGGGAGAATAACATTCCGAGAGAGGAAGTTGTTATTGCCACTAAGGTTTTTGGTCCGGTTGACAAGAGTGGAGAACAAAGATTGCTATTGTTGAGTGATGATAAGAAGGTGAATACTCATGGATTGTCGAGAAAGCATATTATGCATGCTGTTGAGGAATCATTGGAAAGATTGGGAACTGATTGTAAGTAATTTTGAAAATTGCATCTCTTGGTTGACTGAATATTGTAAACAGACATTGATTTGTATATTATTCATCGTTGGGATCCAGACACTCCTATTGAAGAAACCATGGAAACTTTGCATGATTTGGTAAAATCTGGAAAGGTCAGATATATTGGTGCCTCTTCAATGTTTGCTTGGCAATTTGCTAAAGCTCAACATTATGCTGATAAGAAGGGATTGACCAAATTTATTTCCATGCAAAATCTCTATCATTTACTTTATAGAGAAGAGGAAAGAGACATGATTCCAATGTGTTTGGATCAGAAAGTTTCCTTAACTCCATACAGTCCACTTGCTAAGGGAATTTTGGCAAGAGCTCACGAATTTGTCAACTCTGAGAAAACAAGCAATGATGAGGATGATGATGAGAAATCCAAGAGAGCAAATTCAGATTTCATTCAAAAACAATTCAAAGAAACCATGACTGAAGGTGATAAGGAAAATTTGAGAAGAGTTTCAGAATTGGCTAATAAGAAGAATGTCTCACCAGCTCAAATTGCTATTGCTTGGCTATTGAAGAAACCAGGAGTTACTAGTCCTATTGTTGGTGCCACAAAAGTATCGAATATAGAATCGTCAATTGCTGCTTTGGATATTGAACTCACCCCTGAAGAAGTCAAATATTTGGATGAATCTTATACAGCTAAAGCACCTCATGCAGTTGGTGTTAGAAAGTAACGAATGAAATCGGCAATAAATTCTCATTAAAACTTGTTTGAATTTAAAGATTGAAACAGATAATTAGAAATTCCAAACTTGGCTTCCCGACTTGGAAATTCCAAGTTATCGTCATCATTAAGAAGAAAAAAAAATTGTCTTGAAATCTTTCCCAAGATTAGATTATAATTTATTTGAATCAAATTCTCTATCTGCTTAGATAACGAATCGATAGTGCTGATCATCTCTAATTTTGCTAATAGTATCAGAGCCTCGGATCATCAATTTTAATTACCATCATCAAGTGTAACATATAACATAATGACAGCACATATTCATTCGAGTGCCACTAGTAAATCATCACTTTTTAAACGATTGGTCATTCTCACCATTGTAGTCTCCGTACTAATTTACTTGGCTTTTACTTTTAGTTTGTTCTCCGTTCCGACAAAGTTTCAAAAACAAGCTTTATCAACAACATTAGAAGCAAACTCTGCTAAACAACAACAACAACAAGAAGCAATAGTAGTAACACCAGCACAAGCAGCAACACCTGCTAAAGTTGATGAAGAAGTGAAGAAGCCTACGGGAATTGTAGTACAAACACCTGCAGCAGCCAACAAGCAAGTTGAGGAAAAACCAACAACAACAATTCAAAAAGAAGAAGAGGAACATGAGGATTTAGGAAATAGTATTCCTCCGCAACAACCTGTGCAAGATTTGAGTGGAGAAACCTATGATGATTTTATCAAATCATCACCAAATGCATTGGTTTATGTTTTTTCACCAAGTTGTTCTCATTGCATTCAGTTTGCTCCAACTTTTGAAAAACTAGTTGTGGAATTGGGTAAAATTTATGGAGGAATAATCAATATTGGAAAGGGTATGTGAATTTTTATAATATTGACCTATGTTAACAATGATTTAACAATTATTTAACAAATTGAACTAAGTTGTTGGACCAAATCACATCAATACACTCGTGGTTCCACTGGGAGTCAGAGGTTACCCAACCTTGATGTTCTACACAAATGGAAATTTGAAATCCAAGAAGTTCTACGAAGGAGCAAGAAAAATCCCAGAAATTTTAACATTCATCGAGAAACAAATCAAGTAGTGAAATTCTTCCAATTATTAAATTATCAATGATTAAACTATCATGCAACAAACATGAAATTGCCATAGAGTAACACCTTGACCTATTATGTTTCTTGGATAACATAGCCGGTAAGCGGTCCATAAGAGACAACCATTTTCAAGAGCTCTTCAACGTCTTGCTGTCGAATGTCACATTAAAAAAAATAACCAAACACTTTTCTTGAACCAGCACCATTTTCAAATTAATACACAGAGAGTGTTGGTAAAAAGTTATTTCTTTCTGCATTGAAATTATCAACCTATGGGAAATAAATTTGCCAAAGGTGCTAGGTTTCGTCGACCAAATCAACAAGACGAAACCTCTCAAAGAAATGATGAAGCAACCTCTCCCTCCCAATATCGTATTGTGAGTACAGAAGAAATTCAAGCCAATTCCTCTCCTTCCAATCATCATCATCATCCCAACAATAATAATTCCAATTTTTCTTCTTCTGACTCACCAACACTCCGAAAATCCAAATCAAATCGAACAAGAAGTTTGAGTACCTCCACAACAACAGGTGGTAACAATGGTAGTAGTAGTAGTGGTAGCAATAATGCTCGTTCAAGTCCAGGTACCTCTCCGACAAGTCATCATCAACGTTTCCTTCTGACCAACAATCATACAACAACAACAACTCCAAGCCTTGCATCCTCTTCATCAACAACAACAAAAAATTCCCCGCCAAATTCTACAGTAATTTCCAATCAGAAAAAAAAGAGTGGTGTTGGCGGTTCGTTCAGGTTCCGATCATTGAGAGGGAATAATTCGGCATCGGCATCATCATCGTCTTCATCATCGAGTAAGAAGAGTAAGAAGAGTAATGAGGGAAAGCATAATGAAAAGCAACAACCTCAATTGCAATTGAATGATTCGAATTTGAATTCATCAGTGCAAAATAATCAACATCATCACCATAATAGAACAATATCAAATGGTTCGACACATAGTGGTGCAAGTGGACATTTTCCTCTACTTTCATCATCATCGACTGGAATGATACAAACTGGTGGACATTTTCATAGAAAAACTTCAAGTCAGCCTCCACCTAATTGGGCTACTTTTAATTATCAAAATTCTGGAAGTTTATTGTCTCCTAATGGAACTGGTAATCCATTGGTTAGTTTACAAATGTCTCCAAGTCCTTCATCATGGCAGAATAATTACTTTATCTATAATTATGCAATTTTATCATCATCAGCTCCACAACCTTCCACAGTGAATAGAAGTTTATCTAGCTCACCAATGAGTGTTTCTTCAGCTGCTTCAAGTGTTAGTAATTCGAGAGATCAATTAGTGGAATATCAATTGATGGAATTCTCACCACAACAACGATTGGTTCATGAAAAACTGAGGGCCATGTTTCCTTCCATGAAAAATGTGCCTGACTATTTCTTGGCCTATTTTTCATTGGTTCTTTCAGATGAAATAACTTTGAAGGAGACAATCTTTTCAAATGTCAGTGATATTTCATTCTACTTGGAAATGCAATCCAAGATTGAAGAATTATTCCTCGAAGAAGAGGAAAGACTCGGAAAATCACCTAGTACTTCTAGAATGGATCATTTCACTCCTAAATCACCAGCTTATCATAGTGTTACCAATGACAATCTTCTTGCGAACACTACTGAAGATGGTGACATTAACTATTCTTCCAATTTTTTCAATTCTAATGATGCCTATGAAAATATTACCTCTAACCTAAATTTGAACGACTCATATTCTAGTAATAACACTTCTACCGAAAAAGGTGATATTCCTTCCTCAATTATCAATTTCCAATTAGATTTCCTAAATCCTTTCCACATGATGAGCAGAAGTGAGCTCACTGTTCGCTTAATCATTCTACCAAAAATTTTCAAAAATGTTTTCTATGCAAAGACTGAAGTTGCTCAATTAATGTCGCCTGTATTTTCTACTAGAAATAATTTACACTTCCGAGATTCCTTTATTCACAACGACGAGTTTGTTGTATGTATCATGATTGGATTTTGGGTACTCGAGTACATTCCATCCTCTGGAATTATTGTACCAAAACTTATTTATGGACCATCAGAGCTATTTTCATATATACAGAGTATTCCTGTAATTGCCACTCTGAATAATAGTGATGGACACGTAATGAGTGCACTCATTTCTACAATAGTTAAATGGAATTGTGAAAAGAAGAATCCAAACACTAACTCTATGACGTTCATTGATGACTTACTAAAGACACTACACATTAACTTTAAATATGCCCATAATTCAACACTTGAAAATTGGAGGAAGGGTAACTCATCTCTTGAATGGACCATACCAAATCATTACAACCTGCTAAAGGATCCTAGTGTAAACACTACTAGTTCTCGAGTTTTGAAATTCAAATCAATTGAAGATTATGAATTATCAGTGCCTAAAATTGTTCACACCCTGAGTAGTGAATTGTTAATTTCTAATGGAGGAGTTTTTGATTATCTAAGTTGTCTCCAAAAATGTTTCTCGTAAGTATTATTATTTCTAAGATATTTAATTTAATGATTAATGTTGTATTTCATTATCTGATCAATAACATTTATAGAGAGGACTATTTCATGTTACAAACAATTAGAGCCTCATTACAATTAAAAGAATTCGCCCACTTGAAATAAATGCAGTTCAAATTTTGTTTATTAAAGCATTTGAATAGACTTGTTATATTGTTTAATTTCGTGGCACTTGACACGATTTTTCTTTTGACATTTAATTCTAATATCAACACCTGCATGAGAAAATTTCATAGCTCTTGGTGGAACAAGTGCAACAAGATCATATCTGACCTTATTCTTCTTTGACTTGTAGAAATCCACAACTCTGGCAAATTCTGGAATGGCAGCATTAATAGTTGAAACAAATTTGGCATCGCCAGTTCTAGGTTGACCAAAAGTAATTAATTTAATCTTGGCATTCTTATAATCAACGTATTTTGATGAAACAAAGTCCAAAGCAGCAATACTAGTAACAGCAGCTCCCTAATAATAATTATTAATTTTCCAATCAAATGTTTTAAGTAATTAAATTAAATTCCGTTATGTTGTTGTGAAAATCCAATATCCAAAAATGTTCAATGATAATTCGGATCACAAATTTATCACCATCATCCTTTCGTATAAATTCTAATAAAAAAATATAACAAACCTTTGAATGTCCAGTAAACATGACAGTGTCAACTTGATTTTCACTACTAAAAACCTTCTTTAAAGCAGCAACCAAAGTTTCCTTCAATTTCTTATAATGTTGCAAGAAACCTCTATGAACCTTTCCATTTCCATTAAAATCAGTCAACTTGAAATTAAACGAATCAGCCCAATTTTTAACATTCTTTGGTTCAACTCCTCTGAATGAAATTACAACAGTTCTAGTCAATGCATTATAATAAATTTTGAAAGAAGTTTGTGATGAACGATGAAACTTGACAACTTTGTAATCTTTGGCATTTGGCAGGGATGAACATTTGACAATTGGAACTTGTGAAATTTTGTTATGATAAACATCTTGAGAGAAAAATCCTGCCCATTCAATATCTCTTGGACAAATAGTTTTCAATCTTCTATTCACAATTTCCATTTCCTTGTCACTATTGACAAGTGACTTGACAGTTTTTGCGACATTTTTAATCTTCTTGACAGCTTGCTTTAATTTAAGTCCTTCTACTTGTTGTGTGTAGATGGAAAACAAGGCAAGCGTGAGAAGAAGAGCAAAAACTAATTTGTTTGCTTTCATTTGTCGGTTGTGAATTTTTTTTTAAAGATAATTTTCAAGTGACCTGACAGCTGAATTTGTGATGTGAGAAAGTGTCGTTTTTTTGAGCTCTGGCCCATTACATGGATAATTGGTGATCTAGCAAGGCATGAGATTTTCATTTTACAATACAAACGAATGAGAAAAATCTATTCGAAATATACAAATTTCGAATAATATTATTCGAATAGTATTTTCATGAATAATTTGAAGAAATGAATGTTTTATTAGTTTCAATAATATTAATCATAATGATGAATCCTTTGTTGTTCAGACATATTGGAACAATACCTTTCGAATTCAATCATTATACATTCGTTCAATTTCCCATATTATTTTCAAAATCTTATTTCACATATTATCTAAATTGTAACATTGTAAATGGAAACCAATTTAAATTGCAACCTAATCTCTCTATTAATAAAACATATTGTAAACTTTAATATCATCCTGAGTTTCCTTTAACTCATCCTTCATGTCAGAAATAATTCTCTCTCTATATTCCTTATGTAACATTTCTGGATAGTCCAGATATTCCCTAAAATAGGAATCTTTGAGCAAATTTTGAACCAAGACTTCACGTCCCATTCCTTCTGGATTACCGAGATAGACTGACCAGAGTCCATACTTTTTAGAATTCTTCATTAAATGATCTGGAATTTGTAGAGAATGTGCATGTTGAGAATAAACTGAATTACCATCAAAGGCAAATCCATAATATTCGGACATGTTTTTAAAATCATCACTGTCTGATTTGACTCCGTCTTGAGAGAGGAGAAAATCAAGGGCAAGTTGTTTGGTTTGTTCCATCAAGTGCTTTCGTTTTTTTTTAATCTACTTTCGGTTAGTATTATTAGAAAGGTTAATTTAAATGAGTTTTTTATATAGGACAATACCTTGTTTAACACTTACTAGAAAAGGAATGAAGGAGATAATGCATTTTTACCAAAAATAATCCAATCTAGATGGATAATCATTAGAAATAAACTGTTATCTCACTTTAGTTTGTTTGGATTGAATCAAATTGGAGGAATCTAATTGTTGAATAGGAAAATATCAGTTATTTTGGACCAGCTTTCCATCATTAATGATGTGAAGAAAAAGTTCAATTGGATTAATTTTCAATTATAAATTTAGTTTACTTTCCATTAAGGTTTCTCTCTTGTCAACTGCTCATAATCATTTTAATTTCTGGCCAAACTGAATAACATATGATAAGAATGATTTCAATATTTTCTTTCCATCTTCTAGAAAGTATCCAAATAATACTTTTCCCTTCTTTGTCAACTAACTTTTCAAAACATTGTAAAAAAAGATTCTTGTAAAAAAACATTTCAACGCTCAATTCTGTTAGTAAAAACAAACAAAAAACGAAACATGTGTTGGTCTCTCAGAGCTTCCTTGTTCTTTTCCATCCTAGGAGGATTGATGACTTTGGATCAGATTCGAAGAACACTTGCTATTCGAAAGGAGTGGAGAGCACGGAGTATATCTCAAGTATTAATGTACCTGTCGTATACCTTGATGGAATTCCTACAATTTCTACAGTATTGGTTTGGAATTGAAGGAACGTGTGGCACCACTTCAAATATTTTCCTGTCAATTGTGGCTCACTTTCTAATTTGGACTCAACCACTGGCACACAATTATTGGTGTTTAAGGAATACAGCGAAGGGAAGAAGTACTTTCAGATATGCTTTGTTTTGCTCCTTCTCCACCCTAATTCTGGCAAGTATCAGTTTGGCAATGGGTTATTTTCAAGTTGGTGGATTTGGTGTTGGAATTGAAAATGACAATCTGGAAGGTGTTCCAGGAAATGTTTTGGGAATTGAAATTCAAAATGTGAATACCAAATTGTGTTCAATGCAAGGACCTAATCATTTATATTGGATGTTTCCCTATCATCCAATATGGGGACATGGCATTTCGTGGTTTACTTGGTTGATGGTTGCTGCATTTCCTCATTTCTTTAGATATTCAGTTAAGGATAATGATTTCTTTGGAAAGAGTTGGGTGATGGGAAGTGTTGTCGTTGGTGGATGGTTAGTTGCCTTGGCAGTCACTTTGACAATTGGCAATTTCCATGAGACACCTTCTTATTGGTGCCTTATTTCAGTTCCATGTTTGGTGTAGCCCTATGTGTCTGCATTCTTCAATCCTAAACGATTCATTGTTCGAGAGGAATTGTATGTCAAAATGCCAAAGTCTTCATCTTCTGAATATGATTCAAAGAAAGTTGCCTAATTTTTGAGGGATGAGAATTGATGGATTGAAAGCCTCCATCTCATTGAGAATGAGCATTGACAATAATAGTGGAATCATTCAATGTCGATTTGAAACTATTTCAAATAAATTTCGAGTTGGAATCTGCTACTTTTTTTAAGTGTTTGGTGATAAACGTTGGGTCAATTTGTTACTTTCCATTTTGAGGAGTCATGCAGATTTCTTGAATGAAAGTTGAAGTGAGTACCCCACTCACTAAGGTTTATTGTAAACTACACACACCAATAAATATGAAAAATTTTTGTCTGAAAAAATTTCAACACAGCAAGATGTTAAAAGACAAGATTTACGCTCTTATTAAAGAACACTCCAGTGATGTTATGGCTAGTATGCCTCCAAACACCATCAAGATGGTATTGGATCTACTTGGCGAAAACCCTGAAGACAAAGAAAGATGGCTAGAAATTGTTGAAGACGCAGGTGGTGCGTTATTCAACAACTTCTCAACAAAAGCAGAGGCCCAGGAATACTTTACCAAAGGTATTAAGAAGTTAGCAAAGAGTGGTAAAGTTGCTTCCACTAGAAGTAAGACTACCTCTTTGCAAGAGGCAAGCACTCCAAGTAACATGAATAAGACTTCTTCTTCATCTCAAATGGCTACCCCAAAGGTTTCTAGCGTTAGTCAGGTTAGAGAGTTCGTCCAAAAGAGAAGGATTGAAGAAACAGACGACAAGGAGTGGAAGAGAAGAGGTGTTATTCTTGACCCAGCTGATTTCCTTGAAAAGCCAGCTACTTGGAATCTCCCAAGTAGACAACAATGGGAAGAGATGAACCGCCAAATCAACATTTTAGTGGTCGGTAAACAGGTTGAAGAAAAGGTTAAGGAAACGTTTCCGCCATTGAGTACCAATAACCAAGCATTGAAAGCAGAGTACGACACCTTGAAAGAGGTCGCAGGAAGCGTCTACGGTGCTGCATTGTTGAACAAGGATGAGTCAGTTGCAGACAAGTTGGAGGGTGCCATTGAATATATCAAGGAGAAAGCGGTACACCTCAAGCTCGTTTCCTTCGACAAGCATCTTGCGGAGAAGGTTCGTATCATTCGTTCAGATAAGACCTGGAGAGAACAGGCTGACCTTATTAAGGTCGCCTCCAAGTTGATGAAGGTAGAAAGTGAAGTGATTAAGAATGGAAACTTGCCAGTCATCAATAATATGACTAAAGCTGTTGAAAAGGCAAGAGATACCTATCCTGTAGCTTCCCACTGTTTCAAATGCGGAGAAGTTGGACACTTGGCAAAGAATTGCAATAAATCCACTTCCAAATACGTCTCGGTAAGTACTATTTTTCGATCCTCCAGATGCGGCAGAGATACGGGAGAGGAAACAAGCTGTTCACTCCATTTCGAATGCTTGGAAGGAGTGGAAGAGAAGAGGAGCGAAACCTTCGATAATAAGGCTCCTGAAAGAGGGTGTGAAAGTGCTTCCTTCAACAGGGTTCAAAAGATCAGTGGAGACAGTAAATTCAGCCAAGTTCTCAATAAGGGAACTACAGTGGTTGGAAAGGGAGATAAATTTGCTAAAGAAGATTGGTGCATTAGAAGCTTGTCAGAATGCGGAAGTAGTGGCCAAGTTCAGATTGGTACCAAAGGGAGAACAGTACAGATTGATTGTAGACTTGAGACCCTTAAACAAATATTGCCTCATCCCCAAATTCAAGTACAACACATTGAAGAGATTCTTAGAGTTTATTCCAGAATCTGGAACCATGTTCCTATCATCATTCGATTTGAAGTCTGGGTACCACCAGCTAAAAGTCCACAAGGACTCAAGAAAATTTTTTGCTATCAACTATTTTGGACAATTATTACAGTTTACTGTGTTGCCCTTTGGCTGGAATGGATCACCATAGAACTTCACTTTGGTAATGAATCAAGCGGTAATTTTGATGGAATCACCACTCATGCGTCTTTCCAATTATTTGGACGATGTGCAAATAGTGAATGTAGTGGAAGAAACAATAGCCGTACAGAATGTAGAAATATGCAGGGAAGATGCAAACCAGCTTGGTTTAGTGTTAGAGAGAAGAAAGAGTGTAATGAAACCAATGACAGAATTAGTAGTGTTGGGGTCATGTGTGAATATTATAACGAAGACACTATCAATGACAGAGGCTACGATAGTGAAGATTACGAATATGATAAAATCAGTACTCACGCGGATTCATTTAGGCAAAACAGTGTCGGTAAGGAAGATGAGTTCGATAAGCGGGACAGTGATTGCTTATTTGGAATGTTTTATCCCAGCAAGGGTGATGCTTGCTCCCATATTCGCCTTAATAGCAAAAACAGTAGTGAAGTACGGATGGAAAGCTTCGGTATTCGTAAGGGATGTCAGGGTCATTCACAACCTTCAATGGATTATTGCAAATATAAGGATGTGGAATGGAAAACACTTCCAGAGGCCATCATTGGTCTATTACTTCTGGACAGATGCATCAGATTGGGGTTGGGGAGCATATTTCGAGGAGAAGGACTTGAAGATAGGTGGTCAATGGTCGGAACAAGAAAGAAAACTTCATATCCATATAAGAGAAATGTTAGCGGTGTTAAGAGCTTTGATGGAATGGAAGCATTTGTTCGAAGAGAGAAAGATCATTATTTATGTGGACAATTGGATTATCTTACACAACATTTTAAAGGGATGGGCAAAAAGCCCACTTATGAGAAGGTTAATTATGAGCTTCTGGAGAATTATATTCAGCCACAATATAACTCTATTGTCTGTGGAATGGTTACCGTCGGAAGAGAATTATATGGCAGACGGGATCAGCAGGGGGATAATGAACGATCCCACGGATTGGGAGATGACTATTCCAGCATTTCAAAGGATTCAGAAGGAACTTCTAGTGGAAATAGGATTCGACAGATTCGCTTCCCACGTAAGCTTCAAAGTCAAGCCTTACATGGTAAGAGAAAGAAATTTCAGAGGAGAGAAAGCAGACGCCTTCTCTACATTATGGACAGAAGAGGTTGTAAATTTGTGTTGCGTCCCATTCAACTTAATAGGAAGAGTATTGAAACATTGCGAAGAATCAAAAGCTATAATGGTGTTGATTCATCCAGTATGGAAGAGAAGGTTTTGGTGGCCAATTCTAGAAAAGTATCGTATAAGGAGTGTATCGATGAATGGAAAGGACTTCTTTACAAAGTCCAATACAGGTCACGTAGAACCTTGCAAGAAATCTTGGCTATTAGAGGCAAGTCTGATAGATTGTCGAACTCGGAACTAATTAGAATTGCCAAGGAGGTCATTAGCTCTCACAGATACAAAGAGAGCACTGACAAGAACTACAGAAGATATTGGGTGCGCTTTATTAGATTTAACATTGAAAGAAAGGCTTGTTTTCCTCCTTCAGAAGATAATCTTATTGCTTTCCTGACGAACATGTTCCTTAAAACACCGTCAGGAAGCAACTGCAGTGCAGCATATGCTGCTATCATGGCATTTGCCAAGAAATTTAGTTTAGATCAGGGAATGCGAGGAGATAATATTCGAGAAGTTTTAAATGGAATGACTAATCTTTCAAGAGTGGCTAGTGAGAAGGAAAGAAATGCTTGGCAACTAGAATTTATTAGAAAGTGGGTGAGCATAGGTAGGAGAAGCGTGTCTGACAGAGAATTTGTATTATACACATCTATGATGATCATAGGTCTACGAACTATGTTGAGAGGAAGTGAACTTGGTGAACTAAAGACCGAAGATGTTCAATTTCTTCGCTTGGAGAATGGTAAAATGGCAGTCAAATTGAAATGTAGAAGAGTTAAATCTAGTCAGGGTAGAATGGGTAGAATTATGTGTATAGAGAGTACAGGAAATGATTTGTGCCCAGTATCTTGGTTGAATAGGTGGATGGTGTATAGAGATCAAGGTGATTACTTATTTGGTAATAGTAAGGCTTTGACTACAATCGACATTTCGTGGATACTGAGATTTGTGGCGTCAGTTATTGGAGTAGATGGATGTTTCTCCTCTCATTCTTTAAGAATTGGAGGTGCTAATGAAGCAGCTCAAGCAGGTTTTTCTCTCGCTGCTATTCAAGCTTTAGGCAACTGGTCTTCAAATGCGGTTGACAAATATTTCAGATCTGAGTTTTTCTATAGTAGAAACGTATCAAAAGAATTGGGTTTCTAGTAGGGGCTCATTGTTTTCGTATTTATTGGTGTGTAGTTGGATAAATTGAAGTGAGTACCCCACTCACTAAGGTTTATTGTAAACTACACACACCAATAAATATGAAAAATTTTTGTCTGAAAAAATTTCAACACAGCAAGATGTTAAAAGACAAGATTTACGCTCCCACCA